ACGATATTACACTAGTGTAATAACACTTTGACGTCACGTCATTGCACTATAAACATAGCGTTAAAACGCGCTAATGTTAGCGTTACACTTTTATAATAGGCGCGTCAAAGAAAAATGACTCTTGTTAACCGTTTACCGTTTTTATTTTATATATGTGATAAATAGAATATTTTATTACATGCTTTTCGATGGTTTATAGAAATATATCAGTGATTTAAAACTGGTAATTTCACTGTTTGAAACAGTGAAATTACCACATTGATAATTTCACTGTTTTGAGTTTAAGCCCATTACGTTGTTTCAGTGAAATGCCAGCGTGCACAGTACTGGGTACCAACTTAATGACGTGACATCGTAAATGACGTCACGTTATATTATTATTTGGCGCGCTTTTAATTCAATATTAGGTTTTATGTCTTTTTAAAACGTTTCTTTGCATATAATAAAAAGAAAATTTGTTTAGTTTAGTGTAAGATCAAAATATATTTCACCTTGTGAACACCAAAAGTTCATATTTCACTCGTGGCTACGCCACTCGTGAAATATACCTTTTGGTGCTCACTCGGTGAAATATATTCCGATCTTACACTGAACTAAACAAATATCCTCTATATATTCGTGTAGATTCAATACTAAATTTATTGAACTCGTTGAATAAAACAATATTATGCTCGCCAAAGGCTCGCATAATATGATTTTATTCAACTCGTTCAATAAATTTAGTATTAAACCTACACTCATTCAATATCCTCTATATTACACTTAGTCTAGTGTAATATTAACTGTGACTTTGAAGTGACGTCATTTGTGCTATATATAAACATAGCGTTAAAGCGCGAATACGACAATGAAAAATGACACTTTTTTAACAGTTTACCGTTCCTATTTTATATATGTGATAAAAAGAATATTACAAATGTATATTTGTGAAGATTAAATACTAAATTTATTGAAGTCATTGAATAAAACAATATTATGCTCACCAGAGGCTTGCAAAATATGATTTTGTTCAACTCGTTCAATAAATTTAGTATTAAACCTACACTCATTCAATATCCTCTATTTATACCATGAAAAAAAATTTGTTTAGAACATTTAATTATCTGCTATATAAATATATGTAATCTCACACTTGCCACCAACACCCATAATTAAAATACTTTCATAGTTTGTACTAAATACTATCAACTTTATTATTAATTGTATTACAGACCTTCTATCATACACCAATTCACTTTAACCTGTATGGTCCATGCTTTATCACTTACATGCTTTATCAAGTCTAAAATTAGGGATCAAGGTCTTAAAAGACGAGAGTAATTTATTATACTGTAATATATCCACTGTTTGACTGTGTCCTCAAATAACTTATCAACTATCTAGTATTTATTGACATACGTATTTATTTTGGTAATTGTATTCATACTTCCTCTGTGATAAGCCAAGGTTTTGGAATTTTAACTGACCATCGAGATATGTTTGGTCATTATCCTCAAGTGACCTTTCACATTCATATAACAAGTGTATTTGGTAAACAGAGCTTACAAACCAGATGGTACGTTGGTTTTGTGTGTTTGACTTGGTTTTACATCACACTGACACAGTATAGGTCATATGGCCATGTTCTAGCTTTATTGATGGAGGAAGACCTCCGGTGCCCTATCATGCATTATTTCAGGCACGAACGGGCACCTGAGTAGAACAACTGACATTCTATAAGCTAGCTTGATAGCTTCCTCACATGAAAGAATCCAAAGTCCATGTCAAGATTCGAACCCACAGCGGTGAGGGGCAAGTGGTTTGAAGCCAATGACCTTAACCACTCGGCCACTGACGTCCCTAAGTTGGTTTAGATTAGAAATGAAAATGAAGGGTTGTGCATTTAAGAACAACAATATTTATGCATAAAATAATTTATGTATGTTGTATAAATTGCTAAATATCATTTTTTTAGGTGATAAATTTAGAATTTTCTATTCACAGAATGAAAAATGGTTTTCAGAAACATGTGAATTGTCTTGTTTTGATTATATGCAAACATCTGTCACCAAGGACCCACAATTATGCCCGTCCCCTGAGCCACCAGTCCACATTGTATATCCCCAACACCCTAATAAAATTTCACCTTAGCATTTGACTTAAGTTTATCTCAATTTAGCCATTTTTATGTAAATGCCAAATCCTAGAAATAAAGCTCAAAGAAATAACTTACTTTTTCTTATAAACGGAAATTACACCCAAGGTTGATGGGCACCATTTATATGAGCCATTTCATCTATAACTAAAACATGAAGATATTGTTTTACCAACAAACCTATTCAACAATTATCTACACAGCTGACTTGACTGACTGATTTGACTGCATGCCTGACTAACTAACTATTGTTATACGCTTCATTTGACTCCTGAACGGGATGGGAGAAAAGAATGGACCTTAAGGAACATGGTGAAACAGTAAGAAATATGCAGAAGTTTCACACTATTCCAACTAAACAGCTATGGTACAATAAATAAATATGTAGTTCTGAATTGGAACACATTTAATTGGAGCTCTTCATCAATTTAATTGTAACCAGTAAAGAGCAGAGCAGCCTCAGTCTAAATGATTTTTAATTCTGTTGCTAGAAATGAATGAACAACAGTTGTTACTCCATGAACATATAAGATGCCAAATAATTCCTGCATAAGCAATAATCTCTTGCTTCGTCATATTGGTCCAAGCTAAAAACCTCTAAAGTTTCTTAGTGCATATACATGCAGGGAATGACTTTAGAGTTTTGACTAAGTCTTATAAAAACTAACGGTATGGGCAAATTGAGCCCAAAAATCTTTCAGCAAAAGAGAGAGAGAGAGAGAGAGAGAAAAAAACACTACTATTCCTTATTCCAACAATGACAAGAAAATAATCTTAGAGATCTATAAGACCTATGGGCTCTGGGCTACAAAGAAAGATAAAAAGCAAAATGGCAATCAGAAGATTATGCATAAAATCTGGGGTCAAAATTGGGCATAACAAATGAAAGTATGCGTGAGTTATTGAAGATTATTGTATAAACCCGTGTAACTAAATCAGTGACAACTTAAATCTGATCATCAGTCTAACACTATAATCCCAAAGTTTTCTTTGGTCAAGTGCAATATTATAGTGGTTAAAGTTTTACGAAATATTTTTCGTAAGATTACGATGAAGAAAAAGAATCGGAAAATGAGATTGTATGTTTTTTTTGTCATGTTCTGTTACAGGCCATCCAGGAAACAAAGTTATGTTAGAAAATCTCTATTCAATACAGTTAGTTAAAGTAACCTATGTTCTGTATTATGGGGACTGATAAAAGATATTGCAAGGTGGCCTTTGTGGAGCAAACAAGGGTCTTAAAGAGTTATTTCAAGAGAGGAAGCATGACTTAGCAAATATTTTAGGAATGAGTTGTATATAAGTTATTGTACTACTTTGTTTGACACTTAGCCCTACTTGAATACAAAAATTTGAAGAATAATGTTCAATTATTTTTAACCAGGCCAAATCCAGATTTTTTAAAATATTAATTTTTGTTTCTATTCTTTGAAGACATTGGCATTCTTATCTAATTAAGATTGATGTTTATTACATGCTTTTCGGTGGTTTATAGAAATATATCAGTGATATAAAACTGGTAATTTCACTGTTTGAAACAGTGAAATTACCACTTTGATAATTTCACTGTTTTGAATTTAAGCCCCTTTCGTTGTTTCAGTGAAATTCCAGCGTGTACAGTACTGGGTACCAACTTAATGACGTGACGTCGTAAATGACATCACGTTATATTATTATTTGGCGCGCTTTTCATTCTGTATTTATTAATTTAGGTTTAATGTCTTTTTAAAACGTTTCTTTGCATGTAATAAAAAGAAAATTTGTTTAGTTTAGTATAAGATCGAAATATATTTCACCTTGTGAACACCAAAAGTTCACATTTCACTCGTGGCTGTGCCACTCGTGAAATATACCTTTTGGTAATCACTCGGTGAAATATATTCCGATCTTACACTGAACTAAACAAATATCCTCTATATAAATATCATTTACAACATGTGTAAATTTTCCGGTTGAGAGATCATTGTTTCATTATTGTCTAACCATATTTCACACATAAAAAATCTTTTTACACCTTGTGAACACCAAAAGTTCATATTTCACTCGTGGCTGTGCCACTCGTGAAATATACATTTTGGTGCTCACTCGGTGAAATATATTCCGATCATACACTGAACTAAACAAATATCCTCTATTTATCTTACTGCTTTTACATTATGATGAATTTATAATATTGCTTTTACAAGAATTTATCATTTTGCTTTTACAAGAATTTATCATACTGCTTTTACATTATGATGAATTTATCATACTGCTTTTACATTATGATGAATTTATCATATTGCTTTCACAAGAATTTATCATTTTGCTTTTACAAAAATTTATCGTATTGCTTTTACATTAATTCATCCTATTGCTGTTACATAATTAATTTATCATATTGCTTTTACATGATTAATTTATCATATTGCTTTTACATGAATTTATCATATTGCTTTTACATGATTAATTTATCATATTGCTTTTCATGATTAATTTATCATATTGCTTTTACAATTTTTACCATATTGCTTTTACATGAATTTATCATATTACTTTTACATGATTAATTTATCATATTGCTTTTACATGATTAATTTTTCATATTGCTTTTACATGATTAATTTATCATATTGCTTTTACATAAATTTATCATATTGCTTTAACATGAATTAATCATACTGCTTTACATGAAATTACCATATTGCTTTTACAAGAATTGAATTGTATTTCTACATACATCATTTACAAAGTTGATGTTTAGAAAATTAATGGTCTTCATAAACCCAGTTGTTTATACTACTGCATAATGCTATAATGGGACAATAACTTTATGCATCTGGTATTACTCTGATATGAAAAAAAACTAGTTTGGCTACAAAGTTACCTTTGTAAAAAGCATTGTTTTGGAGCATAAGAACCGTCGTTGTGACACATTGGTGAGAAATCATGTGAATGTGCCATCATAGCTGTGACCCAACAATTACTGTAAACCAGTGGCTCTTTCCATGCTACATCAACTGCAATTAGATAAAAGCAGTTGAAATAGATTGGAAATTTGCTACATATTTCTTTCCTTATTAATTTGATTTTTTTTTTCTAAATGTTTAAAAATTGGATGAATCTGTTTAACTGATGTAAAATTACTTATCAATTCTTAATTTTTATCAAAGATTCCTTTCATTTGTTTGTACTAAAATGACATCTTTCTAAGAAAAAATATATTGTTCAATCAACCATATGCATTTATGGTATTTACTTATCTATCAGCCTTTGTGTTAATTTAAATGTAATTTTTTTTTTTTAGAAGAAGCTGCGCGTCATAGAAAGTCCTAGGTCTGAAATCAGTCAAAAGACCAAAACTAAGATAAATTTGCATTCAAAGAAAATGTGACTTAAGACTCCTTTTTTATGACTCTTTTATTGCTGATTGGCATTTACACACTACAAATAAAAGGGTCTGTTATTGTGTTTCGTAACTTTTTTTCAGGAGAATGAATTAATTTATTTATAGTCTACAGTATTTGACTGAAGATAAAAATGTTTACTGAAACAGTCTAAAGTTAGTCCTAAAGTTGGTTTTATGGCCTAGGACTTAGGATACTGTTAGGACTTTCTATTGAACGCAGCCCCGGAACTTTTTTGAAAAAAGTTGAATGGATTTTAATTGAATTCAAGTTCAGAAACAATGCACACCTATTGGCTTGTGTGCGAAAAGTTTTCCAAATTGTTGCTCCAACTGTTCTTTTATAGCTAATGGTCCTCGTGGTCCTCCACCTATTGGTCTTATAACTGGACTGGTTTCTGATAACTTATGAGGACTTTCAACCAATTTTTTCTTGTGTCGATTTTCAACCAATTTTTTCATGTGTAGATCTCTTGAATGTTTTTGTATTTTATTAACATCTGTTGATACAGAATAAGTTTTAGGTGTTACATGTTTTATAATGTTACTATTTTTATCAGCAATAGCCACAAAGGTTTTAGGGCCTGATTCACTTATCTTAAAACTGAAAGGTTGGCTATATCTGTATTCTGTGATTTCTGGTGTTTTTGAAGATTTAGAATTTGCTGAAAAAGAATTACATCTTAAAAAGGCATACTAATTTGCTCTATGTGACAGTAAGAAGTAAAAAAAAAAGGATCTCAAATAGTTGGAAGAGGTTGGATGTTGAAGAAGTTTATATAATAATTTATTATTTACTGACTAGAACAGAAAGTTAAAAGCCTTAATGCCCATAAAAGAACCAGGCCAACCTGCACATTTGTGCAATATGACCATGCTCTGTACTGTTTGTAAAAATGTAGCTAAAAGACAGAAATCCTTTTTAACTTTAAAATCAAATTTTCCAAATTCAAAGCAGGGAAAATCCATTATACAAATTTATACAAATCAATTTAGGGATATTTTGGGCCTAAAATAACAGAACATAACTTTTGAAGGGTGTACAAAATTATATCTGTAAGTTTATTTTTCATTTTAAAAATGAATAAGATCTAAATATGAAAATGATTTTAAAAAACATCACAAAATTAGCTATAAAAGAAGAATTTAGCAAGAACACTGCCTGCCTTTTTAACACACATCTATTTAAGGCAATGTCTATCATAAACCAATTTTGACAAAGTTAAAAATGGGCAAATCTTGTCTAAAAATTATGCCAGGAGTTTAAAGACAAACAAGTATTCCAAGTTTCACATTGTATCAAAATGTTTGAATAAAGGGCCCCAATCAAGATTTTGCAAGAGACAACTACACTGTGATCACAATAGTTTGACTATTTCTTAGAAACAGACAAGTTGTAAATGATTATTCAATTCAAGCAGTTGATCAGTCAGTCAGTCAGCCAATCTGATGAATTTAAAACTTAACATTCATTACAAATTGAAAATGAAATTTTTAAATACATGTATGTTATTTCAAAACTAGAATCATATAAATAGCTTTATTATATACCTATAAATATTCTCCCATAAATACACGCACATCTTGAAGTGCAAATACGCTTCAACGGATAGAAAATTCCGTATTATGTTAGTGACAAATACGGTACCATATATGGAAATTCCGGACTATTTTTGACGTTGGTTCCGATCTTAGCTGTGTATAACGTAGCATTTGGAAACGGGAACAAAAATTATTATTGGCGTGGCCAGTGTTAAGAAAATTACGTATTCATCCGTCATTCATGAATTAATTTCTTGACAGCTACATTTCATTTCCTGAAATTACTAATACAAGTGAAGTATATTGAAACTACTTTTTACTTAAAACGATAATATATATAATAAAAGGAAAATTATGTTGTAGCAGCTTTCTGGGGCCATGTATTTTGCTACTCGCAACGTTGGAAAATTTATATCTCACTCGACCTTCGGTCTCGCGAGATATCAATTTTCCAACGCTGCATGTAGCAAAATACAAAGCCTCAGAAAGCTACTACAACATAATATTCCGTATGTATAAAGATCATCTAGGATAATAATAATACAACAAGACATCTTCATTTTAACAAAACTGCTAAATAATATTTTATTTCCTTATTGATACGATGTGCAAAACATTCCAGCCTGACCTGTATCTTTAATTCAAAATATTCTTATATATGACCCGTATCTTAAATTGTAAAAACTTATTTGAAATTATTCCTATATATGATGACGATGTTTTACATTTTTGTATTTGGCTTGAAGTCATAGTATAAGTCACATGACCAACAATCTCCATTTCTCTTTCGTGCTTGATCTTAGGACCGTATTTCAGGTATTGCTGATAAATGCTTTTAACATGTGACCAACTTTAAGGCAGCTGTGTATGTCTTTGTTTCGAGAACTTTTAAATTTTTTGGATCATCATGATCCAGGAAAGTTATTATATATATTTCAATCAGAACTCAACACATATTCAGAAATACTCAATGTTAACAAATATGTAAAAGCATTAAATTTAAACATACCTTTCTCTTCTACATTTTGATTTGAATTTTGTTCATCTGTGACATCATCATCATGGTCATCTGTAGTAAACACATGTGTTTTAGATACATTTCATACCCTACATTTTACCTATAACAAGTAGAGAAACTGATAGCGAACAGCATGCGGATGCGCAGGCTGGTCTGGATCCATGCTGGTCGCAAACGCATTACGTTGGTTCTGTCTGCTCATATTTAGTAATCATTCACTCATAAATCAAAGTAATGTGGATCTGTTATCAATGTTCATAAAAGAATGCATGCACTGACACATAAACTCAAATGTGTATAAATTCCTCGAGCTGCATTTAATCTTGCATCTGCCAAGTCTTGAACATGTTAACTCTGGGCCTACTGGCAGCAACTTAATCTTGCCATGCACCCAGTGCAGACCAAAATTAGCCAGCATCCTCATAAAAAATGATGAAAGGTTTTGTCCAGATTGAAATATGGTCAAATCCATTGAAGATATTTAGCATAGTAAAGAATATACTAGAGGTGTCACGTTAAGAAAAAATGCTAACAGTTTAAACGGTGACGTAATAACTGTGTTAAACGTTTTAACTGATCGTATTAATAAAATCCTTAGATTTTCAACATTTACTTTATTTCTTTATGACAAGATATGCCATTTTGTTAATATTTTGTTGTACTCAAAATGATAACAATATATATCTGAATATGGAGTTACTATTTTCCGCTAGGGTCGTACCGTATTCGATCAGATCAGAAAAAATACATTGTTAGCTTGTTTTTAGCTAAAAACCGACCGTCCCCATTTAAACAGATAAACATGACACCCATAGTTAACACAGAAAATGTATGTTTTTTGGCCTAAAGCTTAATTTACCAAACAGCTTGGAAAATATAGACTTAAGAGATACAAAGTTGAAAATATAAGCTTTCAGCATCTCAGTACAAATGCTACACAAGTTTCATGCTTTCCAACAATCAGCCAGTTTAGTTCAATCATATGTTTCAAAATTACACTTTATCATTATGTTATCATAAATCTTAACATTCAAAAACATATACAACTGTAGATAGTGAAAAGCAAAATAATTGGTCTTGGACCCCATTATCTTACATGTTTATAATAGTCATCTTTTTTTTTTAAATCAAATTTTCATTCAAGGTGAACTTAAAAGCTTAATGCAAAAATGTCTACAATGTTTTAACACTTACCATCTGATCTTTTTTGTAATCTAGATGCTCGTTTTTTTGCAGAACCCTTTTGAGATACTTTGTCATCATCATCATCATCATCATCATCATCATCTTGTTTAGGATTTTTTTCTGCAAAGTTCAGATATGTATTGTTTTAAAATTTAGCCTTTTGTTTTCATTATTGATGCAATGTTGGTACATATTTTGAAATTTCCCTCAAAATGGTGAATGGTTTTGTCCAGTTTGAAAGATGAGCTAGTCTATTCATAATTTAAATTTTAAGCAGGGTTTTAATAATATGTTTTATCATATGCCTGTGCTGTTTTTTCGACTCCGTAAAAATGGTATTGCACGGCCATGCATATATTTTGATGTGAAGTCATGGAAAATATAGACTTAAGAGATACAAAGTTGAAAATATAAGCTTTCAGCATCTCAGTACAAATGCTACAAAAGTTTCATGCTTTCCAACAATCAGCCAGTTTAGTTCAATCATATGTTTCAAAATTACACTTTATCATTATGTTATCATAAATCTTAACATTCAAAAACATATACAACTGTAGATAATGAAAGCAAAATAATTGGTCTTGGACCCCATTATCTTACATGTTTATAATACTCATCTTTTTTTCTTTTTTTAAATCAAATTTTCATTGAAGGTGAACTTAAAAGCTTAATGCAAAAAAGTCTACAATGTTTTAACACTTACCATCTGACCTTTTTTGAAAATGAGATGCTCGAGTTTTTGCAGAATCCTTTTGAGATACTTTGTCATCATCATCATCATCATCATCATCATCATCATCTTGTTTAGGATTTTTTTCTGCAAAGTTCAGATATGTATTGTTTTAAAATTTAGCCTTTTGTTTTCATTATTTATGCAATGTTGGTACATATTTTGAAATTTCCCTCAAAATGGTGAATGGTTTTGTCCAGATTGAAAGATGAGCTAGTCTATTCATGATTTTTAGCAGGGTTTTAATAATATGTTTTATCATATGCCTGTGCTGTTTTTTCGACTCCATAAAAATGGTATTGCACTCATAATGTTTTAACACTTACCATCTGATCTTTTTTGAAAATGAGATGCTCGAGTTTTTGCAGAATCCTTTTGAGATACTTTGTCATCATCATCATCATCATCATCATCATCTTGTTTAGGATTTTTTTCTGCAAAGTTCAGATATGTATTGTTTAAAATTTAGCCTTTTGTTTTCATTATTAATGCAATGTTGGTACATATTTTGAAATTTCGCTCAAAATGGTGAATGGTTTTGTCCAGTTTGAAAGATGAGCTAGTCTATTCATGATTTTTAGCAGGGTTTAATAATACGTTTTATCATATGCCTGTGCTGTTTTTTCGACTCCGTAAAAATGGTACAGTGAAGCTCACTTATAACGAACACGGTTAAAACGAAAAAATGGTTATAACGAAAGGAAATCAATTCCCCGACTTTAACCTTTCTTTATTTATAAATTGCCTCCTTACATGCTTAGAACGAATTTGGATACAGCGAAAAAACGGTTATAACGTAAGGATTCTGAGGTCCCATGATACATATTTTAACGTAAATCAGCACGGTTATAGCGAAATCGATTTTTGACAGTACAACAAAGAGAAGACAAGTGATTGCCTACAGGTGTTAATTATAACATCTCTATTGATCATGCGTTGAAAAAAGGGCTTAATATGTTTTCACATGTTTTCTCATGACAAGTTTTAAAAGATGTTAAAAAGGCGTTATAATAATTCGATTGTTAAAAGTATAATCATTCCCATGAAATGTGACTTGAGCTGATATATTTCTAGACATACGTGTATAACAGTTTTTATCATGATTATTTGATTAAAAATGGATAGAAGTGTAAAACGAAAAGCTATTACTTTGGAGACAAAATTTGAAATTTTAAGTGAAGTGTAAAAAACAGGGAGATTCCGGATCGAAACAACCCAAGATTAGTGACTTCTTTAGGAAAAACTAACTTTAATTTAACATCGTAAATTAATGATGTTTAGGAAATAGATATCAATTCTGAGTGCATTGTTGTAGAATAATGCACGGTTTGAGTTCAATTGCGTAGTAATATAATCACGAAGGCCGATAGGCCTGAGTGATTAATTTACGTAACAAAGCATTTGAACGAAAAACGTGCATTATTTAAGAAATAATATATCCCAAACTGTGATTTTATCGCTCAATAACATCACTGTTTGGAGTTCGGATGCGAGGAATTATATCACGAGGGTGTAGCCCGAGTGATATAATGATGCGCATCCGAACGACAAACAGTGATGTTATCCAGCGATAAAATCACCAATTTGGATATATTATTTCGATTCTAATAGACATAAACAAATAAACGCTGCCGTACCTGCTATTAAGCAAAATTGCGCCTGATTTGTTTCCGTACTTATTGTCAGCGCGTCGGATTTTATAGTGGTTACGTCACATGTATAATGATTACGTCACATGTCTAAATATAGAACGTCAAACAGTGACTCTATTGCATAATAACACACACTTTCGGTTCTTCTATGTTCAATAGGGAAAAATGCGGGTCGTGTTAGAATATACAATAATGCACGAAGAATTAATATCTATTTCCATTCTAACACGTCAAGAAATATTAGAATTATTATTATAAAGTTGGACTTTATGTTTGGTGGTTAAATTTGTTTTCGCCTGAGAGTTTCCCATAGAAATGTTCTTTAAAGGCTGTTCCAGTGGGTTGAAAAAAACTGTCGTTAAATCTACCGTGTGTAGAAACATTTTGAGAATAACGAATTTTGAAAACGTTGGAAAAACTTTGTTTGTTTATTTTATTTCACTTTATAATTTTTCAAGCGAAATACAAATTATCAAAAGTGAAATAAATGTAAAACTTAACTCGTTTGCGACATTAAAATAGCGTACTTGATTTGATTGCTTTGCACGTGCTGTTTGGCGCTACATTGTGACGTCACGTAAACAACACTTAAAACGTCTGTACAGCGTTAACGACTGAATTAAAGATATTGGTGTTCCGATTCATTTTCTTAGTTAGACCATTTTCTTTTATTGTAGATAGCTTTCACAACAAAATTCGACAAAAAATGTTTTTATTTATCAGATTTTTTAAACAAAATGGCGCCCTTCATGTGAAAATACACAGGGAGGTAATAAGAACGGCGAGTGCATTGATGAAGAATAATGCACACTTCGGGCCTTCTTTGTTTATATAGAAAAAAAATCCGATAGTGTAAGAATGATATACTAGCCAGTTCGTATTGACGTAATTTTGTTTTTTTGTAATACCATATATTGATTGAGATTATCACCATCATTGATTAAAATCATATCATTATTTTGTTCTGTTTTTCATTATCTACTTTATACATTTTTAATAAAGCAATTTTCTTATAGATTATTGGATCTTCTACTATAGCGAAAAATACGTTATATTCAAGTACTTATAACGAAATTTCGTTGTATGGATACAACAAATTTCGAATATAACGAAGTAATTTGCTAGGTCCCGAGAAATTCGTTATAAGCATGTTTCACTGTATTGCACTCATAATGTTTTAACACTTACCATCTGATCTTTTTTGAAAATGAGATGCTCGAGTTTTTGCAGAATCCTTTTGAGATACTTTGTCATCATCATCATCATCATCATCATCATCTTGTTTAGAATTTTTTTCTGCAAAGTTCAGATATGTATTGTTTTAAAATTTAGCCTTTTGTTTTCATTATAAAATTTCCCTCAAAATGGTGAATGGTTTTGTCCAGATTGAAAGACGAGTTAGTCTATTGATGATTTTTAGCAGGGTTTAGTAATATGTTTTATCATATGCCTGTGCTGTTTTTTCGACTCTGTAAAAATGGTATTGCATATATTTATATATATTTATGCATATATTTAGATGAAAGTCATTTGCTTTATATAAACATAGCGTTAAGACGCGCTAAATGTTAGCGTTACACTATAGGCGAGTCAATGAAAAATGATTCTTTATCCCTCTTTATTTTTGGTCAGTGATAGATAGAATATTAAATTTGTGTAGGTTTAAGTACTAAATATATTGAAATCGTTGGAGAAAATAATATTATGCCTACCAGAGGCTTGCATAATATGATTCTATTCAACTTGTTTAATAAATTCAGTTTTAAACTTACACTTTTTCAATATCCTCTATAAGTAAAACAAAGAAAATTAAAAAGGAAATATCATCATTTGCCAAACCACTTAAGCAGGACTCAATTGGATTTTAATAGACTTAGTGACACTAAACAATCATGCATCACTTTACCTTCCAATTCCTCCAAAAACTAAATCTAAGTTCTCGATCAATCTTATTTATAATAACTTTATTATGCTTATTCCGAGAAAGAAGACATTTTTAGTCATGGTAATGATGTAGGGGCACTTTTTAGCATTGTGAACATGTGAACCCAGTCAATGAATTTAAGATTTTGAATTTACTCGCCCGAATTCAAGTTTTGAATTTATTCTACTATATATTTAACTAAATTTTCTTAAAATATTCTCTGGCCCGAACTATTTTTCACTGGCCATGGACCACCGGGCCAGTGCTAAATTTGATGACTGTGAACCTGTCTTACCATTTGATCTTTTAGCTTTATTGATTTTTTTAGCTTTATTAGTTTTGTCTGCTTCTACATCATCATCCTCTTCAGAATCACCTGTGATGATAATAGGTTATATGACAGATGATAGTTAATTAGGAAACGGATATCATTTTTGAGTGCACTATTGTAGAATAATGCACAGTTTCAGTTCAAATGCCCAGGAATATAATATTGACTAATTACGAAGCATTTGAACAATATATTGTTAGTTTTTTTTTCTTGTTTCTTTTATTTACTTCTAGATACAATTGTTAGTTTTTTTTTCTTGTTTCTTTTATTTACTTATAGATACAAACCATTGTGCAAAGTAACAATTATATCTTTCTTCATTTCACAAGTGGCTGCATCACTCGTGAAATATACCTTTTGGTGCTCACTCAGTGAAGTATATTCCGATCTTACACTGAACTAAACAAGAATCAGTTGGACTGAGTGATGCTCCCAGAATAGGTTTTGGACACAGGAAAGTATACCTATTGTAGTGTCAGAGTTATGTCACAGACAAAGTTCGAAGTGTAAAAATGAACAAAGGGCAATAACTCCAAAATTAGGCAAGGCAAAGTTATGGTTCTTTTGCACTGCACTTCTACTCAATGAGATCTATCTACCTACAAAAATTCATGTTGATATCTCTTATAGTTTTAGAGCTATGTCCTGGACAAAGTTCAAAGTGTAAAAATGAACAAAGGGCAATAACTCCAAAATTAGGCAAGACAGAGTTATGGTTCTTTTAACCTGCACTTTTACATAATGAGATATATCTACCTACAAAGTTTTATGTTGGTATCTCTTATAGTTTTAGAGTTACGTCCTGGACAAAGTTCAAAGTGTAAAAATGAACAAAGGGCAGTAACTCCAAAATCAGGCAAGATAGAGTTATAGTTCTTTGACACGGCACTTTTACCCAAAAATAGTTGCAAAATCCGACTTCAAATAATGAAGTTATGGGCCGGACATGATTTTGCTTCATGGTCATGCTGTGACCTTGACCTTCAAGGTAGCGACCAAAATGTTACAAGCGACACTTCAGATCAATATGGTGATCATTTCTGTGAAATTGCTGTAAAATCTGATTTCAAATAACAAAGTTATGGGCTGGCCACGAATTCGGGACGTACATACGGACAGACTGACAACCTGGCGACTGTATACTCCCCCGGAGTTTTTCGGGGAGCATAACAAATACATGTAATTGACTATTCTCTATTTATTACATGCTTTTCGGTGGTTTATATAGAAATATATCAGTGAAATAAAAATGGTAATTTCACTGTTTGAAACAGTGAAATTACCACTTTGATAATTTCACTGTTTTGAATTTAAGCCCCTTACGTTGTTTCAGTGAAATACCAGCGTGCACAGTACTGGGAACCAACTTAATGACGTGACGTTGTAAATGACGTCACGTTATATTATTATTTGGCGCGCTTTTCATTCAGTATTAGGTTAAATGTCTTTTTAAAACGTTTCTTTGCATATAATAAAAAGAAAATTTGTTTAGTTTAGTGTAAGATCGAAATATATTTCACCTTGTGAACACCAAAAGTTCATATTTCACTCTTGAAATATACCTTTTGGTGCTCACTCGGTGAAATATATTCCCATCTTACACTGAACTAAACAAATATCCTCTATATATTTGGTACAATCAAAAGAAATATTCAGTATGAATAAAAGATACATCTATAGGTTAAATTTTTTAAACATAGCAGCATCATTTAGATTCAAGAGACTTTAAATAGGTATTTCAGTCAATGAATTTAAGATTTTCAATTTACCAGCTCGAATTCCAGTTTTGAATTTATTCTACTATATATTTAACTAAATTTTCTTAAAATTTTCATGGCCCAAACTAATTTTCACTGGCCATGGGCCACCAGGCCAGTGCTAAATTCGATGACTGGTATTTTAAAAAAAAAATAATTTCAATACCCTTTGCATCTCTTTTTTTCATAGCTTCATTATGTTTAATATCAACATCCTCGTCATCATCATCGTCATTACGTCTGTTCCTGCCTGCCATACTGTCTTCATCAAGATCATCATCATCTAAACATTCAATAAACTTTATTATTAGACCAGTATTAACAGTACATAATTTGCTTAGCATTTCAGGGATTTTTTTTGGCTTATTTTATAGCCGTTATTGGGTCATATTCCCAATTGAAAATAGTATATTAATTTATTTTCCCAATCTGAATCCACAGGAAAAAATTCCCATTGAATTGAAAGTTACAAAATAAAAATGTTGAATAAAAATTCTCAAATCTTTGCCAATAAGGGCTCCTTCACTATAAAAGTGCTTAAATCTTTGAAGATGCCATCCTAGATAGTAATTGTTTGCATACATTAATCACTGCAAAATTTCAGTAATGCATTTTTTCCCAATTTTACAAAACACCACTGAAATTTCCAATTCCATGGGTATGGGTCGTGTTCCCAAAAACGTGGAAAAATCCCTGCATTTGTATCAATTAATTTATAATTTATGATTTGGTGGATGCCTAAATTTGAGGAGCTAAAACTTTAAAAGAACACACATAAACAGGATGAATCTACACTGAATGCAGAGGCCATTTTTTAAGTAACAACATTTGGATTCAGATCGAGATTGAATGTGAATACATTGTACTTAAGTTAAGTTATAATAATAATTTAAAACATTTCAAAGTCAGACTCAATTTGGTATGTCCACACCAACTACTAATTGTTTTACGGGTATCTTTCATATGATTAAAACTTTTTACTCTAAATCTTCTCCACCAACAAAAAAAAATCCTTCATAATAGCTAATTTGTTAACTAAAATGCTATGTTTTTGCCCAGGCGGCTAATAATATGGTATAGGACTATCAAATTATTACGAAAAAAGAACATATGAGCCGCGTCATGACAAAACCAACATAATGGGTTTGTGACCAGCATGGATCCAGACCAGCCTGCGCATCCACGCAGTCTGATCAGGATCCATGCTGTTCGCTATCAGTTTCTCTACTTGTTATAGAGTTGTAAGCAAACAGCATGGATCCTGATCAGACTGCGCGGATGCGCAGGCTGGTCTGGATCCATGCTGGTTGCAAATCCATTATGTTGATTTTGTCATGAGGCGGCTCAATTATTGTTATTTAACACCTTTATTCTCATGAACCCTAACCCTGCTGGAAACAGAAGTAGTTATCCTAAAGTTCCTACTTTTATTCATGTATAGCTAGACTCTATACTCTTGGCTGATCAACTTCCATTTTTTTATGCTCACAATGATAATAGCTCAGTTCAAAACTGGACAAAATTTTCAGCCATGTTTAGCTTTAATATGATCAATCTTTCCTATTACATCATGGAGATTCTTTAATTCATTTCACTTACCATCAGCATCTAAATCTCTTGCATGTCTAAACCGAGTATAAACATCGTCATCATCATCTTCATCTTCATCAAAGTCCTCTGTGTAAAACATATTTTTGACAAACTTGAATTAATTTTGCTGCATCAATAATAGTATGAAATAAAAAATGTCTTAGAAGTAAGCAATGATTTTAATTGAAGTGTTGAGCCTTTAGTGACAAAAATCGCTTTAAATTTCATGTCAACTTTTCCAAATCAATTCAGGGCAAATCAATTGTACAGGTTAAGTAGATTATGGGATATTTTTGTGCCTATAAGTAACATAACATAACTTTTGAAGGATGTACACTATCTGTGAATTTACTTTTCATCCTAAGTAAAATCTATACAGTACAGCATCGTCTGCATGACTTAGTCCATAACCCCCCTTTACACCCTATCCCTTACCAAAACTCTTTGGATTTATATGGATCTCAAAAGTACTACTGGAGCCTCCATTATCCAGATTTCTGCAATAGTCAGTAATATTACGAACCTTAAATAATAACAAAACCATGGTCAATTTTAGCAAAACACAATATTTTGACCTTAAGGGTCAAGGCCATTTTAACATCAAGGTCGAACTTGTGTTGTTCAACATGATCATTTAATGTTAAGTTGTTTTTTTGTCAAACTATGAATCAAATCCACTTGTTAATAATAATTTTATAGCCAATTTTGGCAAAATTAAAATAGTTTTCCATGAAAGTCATATACAGGTAAAGGTCAAGGCTGAATTTAACCAAGTCCAAATGTCAAGGGATTGTTATATCCAAAAATTATGAATACAAACAGCCATTAATTATAAAGAAATAGCCAATTTTAGCAAAATTTAATGAAAGTCAAGGTCTGATTTATGATCAAGGTCAAACTTTTCATAATATACAAAAGTAGACATCATGACAATTATTCCTGTCAAGTTTTATTATATTTGTTGAAAGCTTTTAATGACGTGACAAAGACAATCAGACAACCAAACTGCCCAGTATACCCCTTACAACTTTCATAATTTCATTCTGCTTGGGATAAAATATTGTCCAGAAACGGCAGGAAGTAAATAAAGATAACTAATGTATTCAAGCTTTTCAGTTTGTTTTCACTTTGTGAAATATACAATATTTTGATCCCTCATGCAAAACTAAAAATTCTAACACAACCGCATTTTTCACTATTGAACATAGAACTTAAGAAGGACCAAAATTGTGTGTTATTATGCAATAAAATCACTGTTGACATTCTATATTTAGACATGTGACGTAACCATTCGACATTATGACATAACCATTAAAAGTGCAAAGTGCTGAAAATAAGTACGGAAACAAATCAGGCGCAATTAATTATTTAGCTTGATACCTGGTACTGCAGCATTTATTTGTTTATATCATGTTATAATCGAAATAATATATCCGAATCAGTGATTTTATTGCTTGATAAAATCACTGTTTGTCGTTCATATCACTCATTATATCACTCAGGCTACGCCCTTGTGATATAATTCCTTGCATCAGAACTCCAAACAGTGATTTTATTGAGCGATAAAATCACTGTTTGGGATATATTATTTCTTAAATAACCTCCTTTTGTTAGTCATAATATCTTGCACTTATAATGTATGAATGAACATGTACATTTTTTGTTAAACAGAGACACATTTATATCCAATATATTCAAATTCAAACTTGAAACTTAGACCATAGAATGGTAATATTTTGTAAAATCAACTTAAAATATGAAGTCCTTACCATCAACATCCCTTCTCTCTCTGTTAGTGAAATCTTCATCGTCATCATCATCAGCATCATCATCATCAGCATCTTCATCAATGTTTTCATTTAAATTTTCTGAAGTATATTGTACATTAATATTTATATTTAAAACTGCTATTAGGTTGTTATTTTAACCTTTACAATGAAGAATAGCGAGTACATTGAAGGCACTAATGCCAAATAATTGCTGGAACTTGCATTGAAAATTTTGTAACTACTCTAGAAAAGATATTAATTTTTCCAATGTATGAACGACTTAGCACAAAACTGTTTAAAACCACAAAATAAAGCAGATATAAATTCCATTTACTCATCATGTTAATGTCCCCATTCAGAGAAAAAGAAAGTATTCATTTTACACCGATAGTGAAAGCCTCAGGCCCTTCCCTTAAATTTTGGGGAAAGTAAACCAGTATTTTTCAAGAAGGGAGGAAAAAACCTTGGAAACTGCATTAATTAAAGAATTTTTTGTTAGTAGAAGCAGCCCTGATATTGGAAAGATGAGTGAATCTTCAATGCAGCTAGTAATTTTATTATACTGTATACACAGAATTCAAACTGTTAAAGAAAGGCAGAAAATTGACCAAGACCTGGAAAATGAACACAAAATATTTTCCCCCGACCTTACACATCTTTAACTTATTTTGACAAATTGCAATTGCAAGATGTAAACTCTACATCAGTAAGAATTATAACAACGCCATCACAATCTTTGGAAAAATATTGATGTAAAAACTACCTGCAAGACTTCTCCTTTTTCTGGAATGTTCCTTAGCCTTCTCTGCAGTAACTGGTTCTTTTGGTGTTTCTACTTCAAGATCATCATCATCAGCATCTAAATCCTCATCGTCATCAGCTGCAAATAAAGGAATTTATTGAAGGTGTATCGAATGTGTATTACAGAAACTCTAAGTTATTCTGTTTCAGCTTTTTAAAGCAGCAAAATGCATTCACAGGCTTGTTTGATTATCATCAAACACTAAGTAAAAACTGCTGATGTAAACTTAAACAAGGGCAATAACTCTCCTTAAATTTCAAGCATCATAGTGATCGTATGAATTCTTTTTTGTTTTTTTTAATTAATGTTTACCATGATAAAATTTCCCAGTCTAAAAGGCATTAGGAAAAAAATGGTGGAAATAACTATTATATTTTTACCTGCAAGATCTCTCTTAATATTTCTTCCCTCAAAGTCATCATCCTCTTCTTCTTCGTCAGCATCAAGATCTGTAACAATGAGAGTATTTTAACTTAGAGCATGTCACTAATATTATTATTTCTGTTTTATTTTATTAGAATTAGATTCCATAAAGTTGTTCCTTCTTCGGACTAGTCCATGAAAAATTCCATTTTTTCCCAATATTATAACAAAAATTTTTTTAGATTTCCATTTTTGCTTTTTTCAAACAAGGTTTTTTCCCTGTTAACCTTACCTAAAGTTAACTATCAGGACAATTACCCTTTTGCAATTTCCCTCAACATTTATTTTTGACAATCTCTCCTGTTTTGTTTTTTTTACAGGGTGGAAAATTCCCCTTAAATTGTTTTATCACAGCAGACAATTACCCTCCTTTTTCTTATTAGGGTGTTTCCCTCCGGTTTTTATTTCACCAAGGACAATTTCTACATTTGTATAAGTTGTATATCTATAAAAATAAGAAAAAGTAATAAAAAAACAGTATTGATCTGTGTCAATAAAACCTAATATGAAGAAAAGTATTTAGAGTTAGTGTTACTTATCCCTTTCCCTCATGAGCATATTGTGAAAAATGGCCGTTTTCATTGAAAAGCCACCTGTTACAAGTTCAAACTGCTATGAAACTATGAAAAAGCTTCAATACTAATCAAACTTGGAACAAATGTTGACTGGACCATTGCCTTTGTAGCGACATGCTCAGTCTTAAATTTCCTGTTACCATGGCAACGAGGGGACATCTCAAAATTGCCAAAAGTCACTATTTTCCCATGATTTTTTCCATCAAAATTGATTTCAAAGTGCTGCAACTTCTCAATGGATTGTGATAGAGTCAAAGGCTTTTCAGTGTTGGTTACACGTTACCTTTAATATGATGAACCTGGGGTCATTTTTAGCCTCTCACAAGTCCAAAATTTTCTTGGCGATGACGGGGACTGCCGCCCCCCCCCCCCACCTTCAAACCCCACAAACAGAAGGGGGCACATCCCCCTTCTAGCAACCCCCTGATGTATCTTTTAGATGGGGGGCGGCGCCAAAAAAGTGCTCACTATTTTTAGCAACTTTTCTCAAACAAAAACATGTGTTTGGGGCCCAAATAGGACATTTTTTCACTATTTGAGGCCTAAAAGAGGAGGTGGTTGAAAGTGCGTTGTTTCGCGTATATATGAGGTAAAGGGTTATAAAGATGTTTAATTATCACCACCCAAATAAAAAAAAATCACTAGATATAATTATTTAAGCCTATAATTTACATTGTCTGAGAGGTATTGTCTGCCCTATCAAAAATACAAAGAGGAATAGTCCTTGTTGTCAAAAATCACTCAGAATGATTGGGAGGGGAATTGTCAAGGAGGAGAATTGTACAGGATTCTTAAAATTCAAATTTGGACAGACACAGATTGATCTAAAATGGTAGAAATACCGATAATTAACAGATTTGACCATGAAGAGGCAGTTTAAAAGAAAATGTAATCAATAGATATGCATGTATAAAATGTATTTAGAAATAATCAGACCTCCAAGTTCTCTTCTTAATCTTTCCAAGTCATCATCATCATCATTATCATCAGCTTTCAAATTCAAATCATCTGTTAACATATGAAATACACAAACTTATGGTAGCATTATTAAATTCAAAATATAACAAGTTTTTTTTTCTTTTCAAAAATCGTAATATAGTAGGCTAAATGATTTTAAACTTGGCTACTTGATAACATAAGTTATGAGCTATATAAGTTAACTGAATTTTCAAAATTAATTCAGTAGATCTATATCATATCTGGATAACATTAATATTAACTCAGCTGAAAATTAAGAAATAGATATCAATTTTGAATGCATTGTTAATTTGGTATAGAATAGCACATGGTTCGAGGAATATAATAAAGAGGCCGATAGACCTTAGTGATTAATTAAAAAACATTTGAATGGTAAACAGTGCATTATTATACTGCAACAAAAAATGTCTCTTTTAACAGATACAACTAGCCAAAAGATAATTATAGCATTTTTCACTCGTTCTGCCGTTGATATACTTTGGATGACCTGGATCTTATCACATGGATACTGGTCAGGGACCATCAACCGGACACTTTTTGAACATTTTTCTATACAAATTTCATAATTTTAAAGCTAGAGGTACGAAAATTTGACACAGTACAGCTAGGTTCTTCTCCTAACTAACAAACTAGTTTGTTTTTTCTGATTATGTTGACACTTATATCCGAGGCCCGTCAAGGAGGGTATCAAAATTACCTAAATTGTACATACTACAGTACCATGTGTCCGGACAGATATGTAATAACGTTGATTTAATTCAGATAAAAGCTTTGGTGTTCTTTTTTAATTTTTAACATGACACACAATATTTCAGCAGCAAATGCTGAAGTTTTGGATATTCTATTGTTTTCTTTGCAAATAATTATTGCTGTTATATGAGGTCAGGCATTGCTTTCTTGACCCCCAAATTTCAACGTCAACATTCTTGAAATAGACATTAAAATATTACCATTTACGGAGGATGAAATAAATTTATTTACTTAATTATAGAAGAAACGTGCATTTATTGTTGATTAAAAAGTGACTGACAACCACTGAACAAAGAAAATTCTAAATCAAGCATTTTCGGGGCCGTCAGGGTTTGGTGGTTGTCCGGTTTTGGTGGTCCCCAACCAGTAAAACTGAATTAATCTAATAAATTATGTTAAAGATAATTCCATACCTGCTAATGATCTTCTAGATTTACATCCCATTGATCCTTTAGGTTTTGCGGGTTTTTTTACGGGTTTTTTATCTCTCTTTGAGATGATATGCTTATTTTTAGCATTAGCAGTGACATCATTTTCAGCATTCACCTCTCTTAAATCTCTTCTTTTCCTGCTATGGGTTTTCCCATTTGAATTCATGTTTTCATTCACATCATTCTCATCACTTTCTGCTCCTACATCTCTCTTTTCTGGTCCAAAGTTGTCATTATCTAAGTCATCATCATCATCAGCATCATCATCATCATCAGAAGCACCTCTCAAAACTCTGCTTACATGAACATCATCATCATCATCCTTCGCATCAAAGTCATCATCATCATCAGCATGTACATCTCGTTTATTTCTACTATAAATGTCATCATCATCGTCATCATCAGCAGCATCAAAGTCATCATCATCATCTTCTACTCCCCGTTTATTTCTATTTGCAATGTCATCATCATCATCTGCTGTAGCATCGGCATTATCATCATCAGTATCTCTCTTTTCTTTCTCAACTTCTGATTTGTCATCATCCTCATCATCTGTTCCTCGGGTTTCTCTTTGTCTATTCATGTCATCATCATCGTCAACATCATCATCATCATCGGATTCTGCACCACGAGATTCCCTTTTGTCATCGTCATGTTCCGCATCGTCATCAACATCGACTGTATCTTCTTTTTTATTGGATTGCAATTCATTCAACATCTTCTCTATTTTGTTCAAATCGTCGCTTCGCTTTTGCCTTTCAACATCATAGTCATCATCATCATCTGCTTCTACACTTCTTTTAGAAATATCTCCAGTATTTGCAATGTCTAGAGCGTCGTCAAAATCAACATTTTTTGTCGCAGAAGCGTCGTCTTTCAAAGGTATACCCGATGTGTAAACAATAGTAATTATAAGACAGAAAAGCAATCCACAATATTTCAAATACATACTTCAAATTCTGACTTTTACGAACTCTTCTTGATTAAAATATGAACGTTTTAAAAATCGTTTCGTCCTCCGTCCTCGGCGTTTTCCGCTTGTAATGTTTACTCAGTGACGTAACAAAACTTTCGCGTCATCAAAAATCTATGACGTCAACAAATGATACAATCTTCCCGCCATTTTACGCCAATTACATTATATAAAGAAGATAATTCTTGCAAGTTTAAATTTAGTCTCTTTCCTTTGCGTTTTCAATTTCAGATATATTTTATCATTATTTTATTTCCATTTTAATTACACTAAGATAATTAGATCTAGCTTAGTCCATTTAAATGCATGATGAAATAAGTACACCTATTAATTGAAGCATATACTCAACATCACCAATTCCGCGTCATCACTTATTTCACGGTAGATCTAATGGCATTTTTTTTATGTGACCAGTGTTAAAATTGGTCAGAATTGACATATTTTATTCAAACACCTTAACAACAAAGTTTTTGTGCAAAATATTTTAAATCTATAGATTTTTACGTAAAACAGAACAACATTTTTCAAACTTCTGCATAAAGCAACAATAGTCAATTAGATTTGTACATACATCTGAAACAATCATCATTTTCAAAATGTTCTTGTTTGTTGAAAAAATAATTTTAAGTTACAAAGTCAAGATACTTTTAATATTTAAAATTATGCAAAATAACATGTTGATATTTTAACTGAAACATGAAAAACTGAAATAAAACACCATTACCGCAATTTTAATGATGACATACTGTTTTCAAACTGGCCGACATGTTGTCTTCGTCTGGCTCATTTAAACTGATTTTGACTAAATATGTTGTTGTTTCCCTGTGTCATACAACAGAAAATACCTATATGTTACAGCTTATGACAATTTTTGTACCATAAGTTTTATGTGTTGTTTTCTTACTTGCTTCATCTGAAGCGTTAAGTACCATGAACTAAGAGGAGCACAGCCTAAATTAAACCGTGAACGATTTTTCTATGATAGGATGTAACTTTAATGTTATCTATGAATGGATTGTCTTCATACTTAGACATAACGATCTTTTGGACAAGACCATTAAGTAGACCAAATTAATTATGACCTTAAACCATCAATGACCTTGACTTTGAAGGTCAAATTAATGAATTTGGCTTGATTTTTGCTATAATTGGCCATAACATTTTTTACATTTAGCTATGACAAAGTCTTAAAAATTATCAAACTTTATTTGACACTGAATCATGAATAACATTGGCCTTAAAAGGTCCAATTATTGAAATTAAACTTGGCCTTTATTTGACCGTCAATGTCAAATAATTGAGGTTTGCTTAATTTTTCATAGTATTGTTATCACGGGGCGTAATCGTTTCGGACTGATTTGGAATATTTTCCCGTTCCTGAACCGATTCGGATTTTTTTTTCACCGGATTGATTCAGATATATTTGATTTTGAGCTTGACAAGGTAAGAAAATATATAAAATAAACATATTTACAACTGTGATTCTTTGAATATTCTACTTGCACGGAACATTGCAATGTTAAAGGAATTCATGTACAACTTTATAAGGTTTGTTAACGTTTGAATCGAAAAACAAATTTCACATGTCAGTGAAGTAGTCGTAAACACTAGGATAAAATTGCCAAAAAAAATCATTATTATCCTTATTTTTTTCAGGTATTGCATGATTATATTATAGAAAAATCATTCCGCAATAATTTAGTGGTTTTTAGTAGAATGATTTGTCCGGTTATGAATTGTAGGACAGCGCTTTGCCTTGTTTTCCTTAATACGGATCAATTCGGTGCCCTTAAAAAATTACGGGGTTGACATAAAAGTACGTCCTACAAATTCATTACTGGACAAAACATTTTAGTAAAACCGCTAAATTATCGATGATTTTTTTCTATAATATGATCCTGAAATCTCTGAAAATCAAAGATAATAATGACTTTTTGGCAATTTTATGCTAATGTATTCTTCTACTTCACTGACATGTGAAATTTGTTATAATATTGTTATACGGATTTGATAAACTGTTACCAATTTTGATTCAAGAGTAAAGGGCTTTTTTTTTCAGTGGAAATAATTCATTCAGCGGATTAACCTTTTAATTAAATCAGAGTAAATTTCATTTCATTAATTATCTTTGTTTATATTTTTCATTGTATTTATTTATTTTATTTTATTGATTCCATTTTTGCTACTGGGAATGTTCTTTACCACTGCCCCATTGAAGCCTCTGTGGGAAAAAAACTACATTGATATATACAAGGTGCGAAAAAAAACACGACCGCTATATAGCAGTCCAGATTTTTTCCTATATGAATCAATGAAAAAACTGTACTGCTATATATCATTACAGTTTTCAAATGCTCATTGAAGTGTACTGAGTATAATGGGTTAGTAAGAACAAACGAAAAGTTCCAAGCTATGCGATAATTGGTTAAAAGAGCCCTTAGATCTATGACAAAGCAGACATGCTGATATATTCTGATATGACCCTGACCTTTATCTAACTTTGACCGTCAAGGTCAAATTAATAAAATTTGCAAAAATTGTCACAACTTTAAAAAAAAATATATGAATTTGATTCATTCTTGTACAAAAGAGCACACAACTGTTATGGTGATTAATTTTAATGTGACCTTGACTGACAAGGTTAAATATGAAATTTGAACATGAAAATTATGTTTTCTGGGAGCACTTTACTAGTCTGTCTCTGATGTGTTTGGCTTTAGAAATAAGAAAAGGTCAAACGTGAACTTTTCAGAAAACCTGTAGAAAATTTACCAAATCTTATAGATCTCAAACTGTTTATTAACTACTGGAAGCTGTTGTCACAATATTAATCGTACATTCTCTTAGACATTTACTTTGCCATTGACATTCGTACTGCAGAATATATGCAGACTTGAACTTAAACAGAGAATGTTAAGTATTTAAATGAGCCGCGTCACGACAAAACCAACATAATGGGTTTGCGACCAGCATGGATCCAGACCAGCCTGCGCATCCGCGCAATCTGATCAGGATCCATGCTGTTCGCTTACAAACCCTATAACAAGTAGAGAAACTGAAAGCGGACAGCATGGATTCTGATCAAACTGCGCGGATGCGCAGGCTGGTCTGGATCCATGCTGGTCGCAAACGCACTATGTTGGTTTTGTCGTGACGCGGCTCAAATATCCGGCATTGCCTTCAATCAAATGATGAAATGTTTTCTATTGATATTTATAATTATTTTATACAATTTTTTTTTGTGTATAGAAAAACAATACAATAATATATTGGTATCTTATTTCAGGATGACCAACTATGTATATGCAACATGCATACATTTGAACAGTAATCGATAACTGGTGAACTATATGTTTTGTAAATTAGTTCGTACTTTAAATACTGCTAACGTTAGTGCTTGCTTTATACTCAAAGTGCCCTTTCGCTCTTTCTGAGGAGATGATGACAATTCAAAAAGTGGTTCACTTATCTCCCTGTATAGAGGTCATAATACTCTGCCTGGGAGTCAATATTCTGGAGGAAAAAACAAACAAACAAAAAAAACATCAGGGGTCATTTTGATTAAATCATACGGACTCCAGATTTTGAGGGAGGAATGACCACTTTATCATAAAGTACTGACTAAATTTAATTATCATAAGATACTGGCTTAGCTGAAGCATAATTATTTATTCTATGAAATCTAGATGCTTATTGGGACAACTCTAAAGACTGTTTCCCCGAACCGGTGTCACATGAAGTAATAAAGTCATGACTGCAGTTAGACTCAAACTCACGATCCCTGGGTTGAGAGACGGACGTCTTAACAACTTGACCACAGCTCCCATTGATATATTTACATGGATCAAGATATATTTCCGCCTTACTTTATACAAAACGTATATCACACACCCGTGCCGATTTTGTGACTCCGTAAATATGGTATTGCACGGCCGTGCATATATTTTGACGTGACGTCATAAGCGTTATACAAACATAGTGTAAAGACGCGCTAAATGTTAGCGTTATACTATAGGCGCGTCAATGAAAAATGACTCTTATTTCACTTTAAACGGTCTTTATTTTTGGTATGTGATAAATAGAATATTAAATTCGTGTAAGTTCATTGCTGAATTTATTGCACTCGTTGAATAAAATAATATTATGCTCGCCAGAGGCTCGCATAATATAATTTTATTCAACTCGTGCAATAAATTCAGTATTGAACTTACACTCATTCAATATCCTCTATTTATTGAACAAGTTGGAACGAACTGTAGATAAGAAATGTGTTTTTCCTACTGAAAATAGCAAAGCATTTAACCTTCTAATAGCTAAATGATTCGAAAATAATGGCTTTGCGCGTAATTTCTTTCGCACATTTGCAGCTTTTGTAGATCATTAGGACTGACAGAAAATGTAAATCAAACCATCATCTGTATTCTGGATCGTTATTTCTACCTCGCTTAGAGAATCGAACATACATACATACACACAAGAAACTTTATTTCAGACTTTTTTTGTAGTGAAAACTCATTAAATTTACGAGAAAGCGCTTAAGATATAAAACATTGTGCGTTATATGTGCTTTACATTTTAATAGTTTTCTTTTTTCTCATTTCTTATGTGATAAACACTTATCATACCAAAGAATATGAGAGTACCTTTATAGGAATGTTATACTGGTATAGCATAATTTTGTATTTAACTAGTATTTGATTCTCAGAATTCAAGTAAATTATTACCCCGACGGGACTTCTTGCGATAGATATTCAATGAATGCTACCAATCAATCAACAAGCAAACCCCGAAAAATTTAGAACCCCCTAATTTGAACCACCTACCGTCCGCCCCGCACCCCCGCCAAAAAAAGAAAAAGAAAAAAAATGAGACACCCCTACATCTGCCTCAGTAACCGAACCTCATTGAAAGATTCTTTCATTGGAGTGAGGTATTTGTGAATGAATTATGAATGAATTCCAACAAAAATCTCTGATGAATTGGAATACGCAGACTTCCTAGAAACGTTTCCAAGTGGAACACTCAAATGATCTTTTTGCAACATTATTTAACAAGAAATAAGTGTTTGTTCCAGTTATCGC